TTCTTACCATTGTGACAGCTGATCTCTTATGCCCAACATCTTCATGCCTCCATAAAGATGTTACTGTTTTGGTTTGTGTATAAAATTGCAGTCCCGACTTTCCATCTAAAAAGAAAATTATATATTTATTATTGTTGTTAATAAATAATAACACCTAAGAAATATAACGATAATGAATAAAAATAGGTAATTACAGAAATTTATATCTCCTTGAATGGATCCCTTATTACCGGTAAATGAGAACATTGGTAAAGGAACCGGAATCGGTACATTTACTATTCACATAGAAAGGAGACTCAGTTCAAAGTATCAATTTTTTTTCTTAATCAACAAGTCTTTCTTACTTCCAATTTGTCCAACTTCAACATTAGTAGTAAAATACCGTGCATTACTACCGCTATTTGTAAATATGGCTGTACCATTACCATAAGGATTTTTATTAACTATATTTATGGCTTCGTCTAGAGTATCAGCCCTCAGACAAAGCAAAACAGGACCAAATATTTCTTCCTATAAATAATGAAAATTGCCGATTAAAATAGATATTTCTCACTATTAATTATAAATGTATTAAAACTAGTGCTGTATACCTTATAACATTCCATACTTGGATTGACATCAGCCAATATTGTTGGTCCTAATTAGCATGTAAATAGAAATCTGCTCAATACATTGACTAACCAAATAATCCTGCAAAGAAATAAAGTACACACCAACAAAATTTCCATCCTTATATTTTTCCGGAACACTCGGATTACGACCATCTAAAACCAGCGTTGCACCTTGATCCACTCCGCTTTGAATTAACCGCTCAACGCGTTTTTTTGCTTCACGAGTAATCAACGGACCCACATCGGTTTCTGGTTCCATCCCCCCAGAAACCTTTAGATTTTTTGCACGTTTAACAAGTTCCGGTAACCAGTTATTTGTCTCTCCCACAAATATAACTGTTGATAATGCCTACGTGAAAGTAGCATTAGTTTTGCGTTGTCTCAGAAAGCTATGAAAGAAACATAATAAGGAACTACCATGCATCGTTGTCCTGCAGCACCGAAAGCAGCACCAGCAAGCTGATTGAGTGTATGGTTCTGTGCAACAACATATAAACTGATATCAGAAAATCATGATATTCTTTCTCTAAAGATCAAAATACAAACCATATTGGCGTCAGGCATTATAATTCCATGATTTTTGGCACCCAAGTTGGCCTATTAAATGTGACACGAGTTAAAATATGTTTCCGCAAGTGATTTGCGTTTATCAGTGCAAATATTGACTAATTAATCTGATACCTGAACCCTCTTTCCGTTAGCCGTTCCTCGCTTATAAATATATTTACCAGCTATTCTTGCGGAAGAAAATATTTACATTATGAAATGAACTCGCCAAAATTTTGTAATAAATATTAAAGTACCTTGATCACTTCCAACAAAAGAAATAGCTTTTATGTGTTCATTATCGCATATAAAGTTAACGGTGTCAACTGATCCATGAACGATGTTGAGAACACCAGGTGGAATTCCGGCTTCGTTGGCCAGTCGAGCAAGAATCATGGCAGCTCCAGGATCTTTTTCGGAAGGTTTTATTATCATTGTGTTACCAGCAGCAATGGATAAGGGAAACATCCACAGAGGAATCATCGCAGGAAAGTTAAAAGGACAGATCCCAGCAGTAACACCCAGCGGCTCTCGAATAGTGTATGTATCCATATCAGTGGAAACAGCCAATTTCTCGCCCATGTATAAATTAGTGATACCACAAGCATTTTCAACAACCTGCAATCCTCTAAAAACGTCCCCCTTGGCGTCAGGAAACGTTTTTCCTTGTTCTCTTGTAATGGATTTTGCAATTTCATTGATGTTCTCTCGAATCAAGGATTGAAGATCCAATAAAACTCGCTGTCGCGTGAGAATTGAAGTTTTACGCCATTCTTTAAACGCCTCGACTCCCGTATCGACCGCCTCTTTCAATTCATGAGGAGTGGTTTCTGGTACAAGAGTGACCAGTTCATTGGTTGCCTAAGAAGAAAATCTTTAACACGTCCATGCGTGACCATTAGGAAAAGTGAAACTTACGGGATTATAAACCGGTATCCACTTGTCAGTTTTAGACTCCACGAATTCTCCATTTATAAACAAAGCAGTACGATTTAATCCAA